AAATCGCGCTGAGCCGTGGATGCACTCCGGCATACTGACCGCCATGAAAACCAGAGACAAAAAATGCTCTGAGTTTCATAAAAGTCAGTCAATGCTTTCCAAAAGCACGAGCAGTGAACTCCAGGCCCACGTGACTGAACTCAAAATTGAAAGAAACAGACTAAGAAATGACGTAAGCTCCATGATCAAAACTGCCAAAAAGAATTTCATCAATGTCAAAACTGAGGAAAACAAAAATAAACCCCGTGAACTTGGGAAATTACTCAATAACCAGCTTGGCTGCAGTAAAAAACTCAAAACGAGATTTTCTAACTTAAACATAAAGACAGATAACAGGCTCATCACAGACAAACTGGATGTGGCCAAGTACTTGAACATTTTTTTCACAAACATAGCCACAACTCTTGTAAATAAATTACCCTCCCACTCAGGGCTTTTTGGAGTAGATCACATCATGACCTACTACAAAAACCTAGGGGTACGCAAAGATGATTTCAGTCTAGCAAGGGTAACAACAGCAGAGGTACTCATTAAACTGAGCGCCCTCCAACCTAACAAGGCCACTGGCCACGACAATATCCCCTCCAAATTCCTCAGAGACACAGCAACCGCCATCTCACCAGTCATAGCTCACATAATTAACCTCTCCATAAAACAGGGAAAGTACCCAAAGACTTCAAAATTGCAAGAGTAACCCCCCTGCACAAAAAGGGCAGCAAATTGGACCCAGGCAACTACCGCCCTGTTTCTATACTTACCTCCATCTCGAAAGTCATGGAAAAAATAGTATATGAACAGGTCGAAAAGTACCTCGCGGAAAAGAAACTAATCTATGAATTTCAATCTGGCTTTAGAACATCCCACTCCACTGACACATGCCTTCTTTATTTGAGCGACCACATCAAACAAGAGGTGGACGAGGGCAAGTACTGCGGCATGGTGATGCTGGACCTACAAAAGGCTTTCGACACTGTCAATCACCCCATTCTGATTGACAAGCTAAAAGCAATTGGTTTTGATAAACTATCGGTGAGCTGGATGCAATCCTACCTGGAGGGGAGAGAACAGATGGTGGAGGTAAACGGTACTCTGTCCCCCCCCCTCCCAGTGAGCTGTGGTGTTCCACAAGGAAGCATATTAGGTCCGTTACTGTTCCTAATTTATGTAAATGACATGTCATCAGCATGTGACTGCAACTTGTTCCTGTTCGCGGACGACTCAGCCCTGCTGGTCTCTGACAGGAACAGGTTGCAGGTTGAAAAAACCCTCAGCTCCGAGCTCGGCAGAATCTGCACCTGGCTCGCCGATAATACATTATCATTACACCTGGGTAAAACAGAGTCCATTCTCTTCGGTTCGAAACATAATCTCAGCAAATCCGACGACTTCTCAGTTGCAGTGGGCGAACATTATTGTCACAAGTAAGAAGGAAATTACATACCTAGGATCTATCCTTGAGGCAAACCTCTCCTGTGACAAAATGGCATCCTAATGTAATAAAAAAAGTCAATCAAAGAACTAGATTCCTATACCGGATCTCCTCTCTGGTAAACAAAAACACCCTGAAGACTCTGGCAGGAGCACTCATTCAAGGGTACTATGACTATGCTTGCACGTCATGGTACCATAGCACCTCCAAGGCGCTAAAAATAAAACTTCAAACATCGCAAAATAAACTGGTCAGACTACTGCTTGACCTTTCATCTAGAACCCACCTCACCTCTGCCCACTTTGACAACCTAGGATGGCTTAGAGTAGACGACAGAGTACAGCTACGTGCAATGGGCCTGGTCTACAAGATCCACTACACCTCTATGGTACCCATGTACATGTCAAAATTCTTCCCAAAGGTCAAGGAATACCATGATCATAACACCAGAGGGAGCTCCACAAATCATGTGAAACCCAGATTTGGCACAAAAAAGGGGGAATACACGTTTCGCAATTATGCCACATCAAGGTGGAACGCTCTTCCCACAACTGTAAAGGAAAGTAAAACTATACTTACCTTCAAAACCTCTCTTAAAGAGCACCTTCGGGGGAGAGCATTGCAAAACTGGCCCCGGTAATGGTACAAATCTCAACCTGTCGTTCAATGGACAGCTTCCCCCCCCCCCCATCTATGTATATACTCGCATTTTAGACTCTGTTACTAACTGTATATCTGTAGACTTGGTATGTCTTAAATGTCCGGTTAGGATGTATTAGAACGAAATCTAAAATGAAAATTGTAAACAAGCAATCTGTATGTAAAAAAACCACCTGTATGTAAATTGTAAATACGCCATCTGTATGTCAAATATGTCTTATATGTCTTAAATGATATGATGAATTGGAAATGGGGGACCCTGATGTAAACAAGACGAAAGTCTTTCTCTGGTCTGCATCCCCTTAACAATTGTATGTTTTGAGCTGTACTGTACTGTACCCAATATACAAGCTGTTAATACACTTTTCAATCAATCAATCAATCAGCTTGTAGATGGTATTTTAAACTCGATGCGCTCTGAAACTACGGGGCGGCCGAGGAAAAAAAATACACATGCGTTAATCGCGTTAAAATAATTAGTGGCGTTAATTTTTTTTTGCTTTAACGCGTTATTAACGCGTTAACTTGACAGCCCTAATATATATATATATATATATATATATATATATATATATATATATTAGACCTGTCAAGTTAACGCAAAAAAAAATTAACGCCACTTAATTATTTTAACGCGATTAACGCATACATTTTTGTCCTCGGCCGCCCCAGTTTCAGAGCGCATCGAGTTTAAAATACCATCTATACAATCCAAGCACACTGCTGATGCCGACAGCCCCGCTCCTGCCGCCCGCTTGCAGCAAACCACACTTGCAAGTGTGCGGGGGAGACGCCTGGACACATCTACGAGCAGCAAACTTTCAACAAAGATCGCTAAATGGGTGGCGACAGCTTGCAGGCCAATTAACATTGTGGAGGACGAGGGGCTGCGTGATATAATTTGGGTCGCATCCAACGACTGCACTTATGAATTGCCTTCCAGAGCCACCACTGTGTCGAAAATACACAACTTGTATGAAGTCCAAAAAGCGAAAAGTAGAGGAGGATTTAAGAAAGACTTCCACAGTTGCGCTCACCGGAGACTATTGGACTTCACTCAATAATGACAGTTACCTCGAGGTCACAGCGCATTATTTTGACCCACAGTGGGAACTTCAGGCTCATGCTTTGACAGTTATGAAAACAGAGGAGCTGTTTTTCTGCATTGACTTTAATCAAAAGCATGTGCCGGTCAAGCAGGGGGGGATCTACCGGGATGGCACCCCTCCCCCGTCCCTGGCGCAAGCGTGGAAAGGTGATTGGCGGCGATTTCATCTGAACGGGACAGCGCAAAACGAGAAGCATTCGGACCCAAGTAGACGGAAGGAATGAGGTATTTGCGGTCTACAATGACAGAGAAGAGACTGTCAAGTTTAACTGTACTCAGCATTGAATCAAAACGCACTAAAGCTTTGGATCTTAATCAGTTTGTGAGGCGTTTTGCTGAACAAGGGTTAGGGTTAGGGTAGTAATCGCCGCATTCAGCTGTTATAGGCATGCCAACTTGATGCTCTGCTCACGGATGACTCGATGAGCATAAAAAACTGTTAAGATGATGACCTTACGTGTGTAAATACATTACAAAATACATTACAAAAAACGGTTTTAAGTCCTGAGAAAGTCAAGTAAGACGGTGAGTAAAACTACACTGCCCAGCTAGGGCTGAACGATTAATCGATTTGAAATCGAAATTTGAAATTATGCAATTATCAAATCGCAAAGCCTGCGATTTTTTAGGTTTTTTTTGTTGTTGTTTTTTTTGTTCTTCTTGTGTGTCAGTCATTCACACCAATCAGAAGTGCTGTGCTCCACATGTACCAGCCATTGTTAACCAATCAGAAGTGGCCCATGATAGAAGGTGATAGACAGATTGATCCAATCACCTGCCAAGTATTTTTGAAAGTGCCTGCCCTTTCCAAATGGCTTCCAATGGAGCTTTAGATGCTTTGGTGAACCATCTGAGTCAGGTTAGTGATGCTCCATCACATGTTTCTATTACAGGGTGCATCTTAAACTGAAGCTTGACTTTAAAGCAACCCAACGGAAGTTTCATTTAAGTTTAGTTCTTTCACTCGTAGCTCGGGCTGCGGGGGTGCTAGAGACGGAGAGCTACGTTGATACGACCTTCCTAGCCGCCATGGCCGCATTTTACAATAAACTTCCGTTGGGTCGCTTAAAAACAAATATCGCAAATCGAATCGCAATCTCTGTCAGAAAAATCGCAATTAGATTATTTCCCCAAATCGTGCAGCCCTATGCCCAGCCAAAAATAAGTAACCACTTTGATTTCATAGGCCAGTAGGTAAGGGCATTCCACTGGATAATAATACCTCTGCATTATAGCAACAACAACAATAATAATAGCAGCAATAACAATTGGGAGGGGGGGCGCAGCTGTTCTTATGTTCTCTGAGGGGAGGCTCACCTTCCCACACTTTGAAAACCCCTTCCCTAGAACACTATAAACAGACAAGAAGTTCCTGCTTTCTGGTAAATCAAAGTTTAATGACAAAACATAATCTGCTTTTTTGGAGTTTCCCTTTCCTGTAGTGTGTTGTATATGTTTTTATGCATGTAAATAGTCTGCAGAATTCCCTCCAGTTTCTCTCCCACACACTCCCCCAGCCCCCCCCCCCTGCCTGAAACACCTCCATTGGACTCCTTGGTTTACTTCAGTAACAGAGTGACATCACTATGAAACACTCGCACTTCTATTGACTAGCTCTTCTTCAACACATTGTTTGTGATAGTTTAAGGGGCGGGACATCTCTAAAGGGGTTGACCAATCACAACAGAGCCGGCCAGTTAACCAATCAGAGGGTGAAAAGAGGTGCTGCAGCACAGGCAGTATGAGATAAATAAAGAGCTTTTTGAACATTAAAGCATGGAGACATGTCCCAGTTGAGACACTAATATACACCTGAACATTAGCAGAACAGGGCCCCTTTAAGCTTAAATCTGAAGTAAACATCTTTGTTGGGGGTGTGTCAACTTTGAGTGCCCCCGTCTTCTGAATGATGGGTCTCGTATGGGGTGAGTTAAGTTGTGAGGGTGACTCATAACATATATCCTTGTTCAGAAATAAACAGGTATAAAACATTTACATATAAATTGTTGGAAAGGAGTGAACAAAAATCAATGTGGCTTATGCAACTGGAATTTGTGGCTAAACCGTTTTATAATTGAGTCTAAATCAAATGCAACACACAACAGACGTGCTGTGGTGTTGGCGGTGTGCACAACCAATGGGTCGTGCTGAGTGGAGGTGGTCGTGTAGCGTAGCTTCAATGGAAACACAAACACACGAAAATGATTCGGCCTAAACCTAAGCAGGCAGGGTGGGTGTAGAGGCCTTACCCAGGTATTTGATGGTGAATCCTCGTGGCGGATTGAGGGACCTCCGCATCCATCCCTCCCTCAGCACCTCTAGGTGGTCCTCCTTCCCCTGGATCAGCAGCACATGCTCATCTATCCATCCCAGAAAGAAGGTCTCGGACACAGCCTCAGTAATCCTCTGGTTCCATACATGATGCTGGGTATTTTCTGCTTTAAAGTCGGCAAAAATCTCATAGCCGGTGTGGTGTCTCGGCAGCGCATCGCTCTCTGACACCCCGGCCGCCCCCCCCGCATCCCCAGCCCCAACCCTGGACAGTACTATAGCCAGTGAATGGGGGGCTATCTGCAGAAAAGACTCCATTTTCGCGTCGGCCTTCTAGCTGACTATCGAATGCCCTGTTATCATTGTATGCATGCATGTGACACCGTGAGGCTTCATGCGGAACATAGACTCCATGTTAGCTCGCAGGGTGTAGCTACAGGCTGCGGGCTGCAGCAGCCGCATAGCCCACCACTGTGTCCATGAAGCTAGCCTGCTAGCTCCCGTTAGCTCCCTATACTTACATGAAACCCATTCCTACACCTTTAGGTCCTTTCCTCTAAACATAATACATAGCCCCGTAACGGAAACCGGTTTTTACCAAAGACCCATGTCGAACGCTGTCACCTAAAAACCAAAGATGACATTCGTGATTTTCGGTGTAACGGTGTCTTACACCTCGTTGTGTTATGTACCTGCAAATTAGGCTAACTAGCTTGATGCTAACGTGTTAATGAATTCACCCAGGCAACAGATGCGGAGAGACCCCCCTTTCCTCGTCGCCAGGCAGCAACCGGGTCTCGTCGGACACCTGTATCTTTTTATCCAGCCTCCACGGTACCCGATGGTTTAGTATATCCCCGGCCGCCCGGTCCTTCTTTCCTGTCCCCTGCCTGACACACGGCGGTACGGTGCGAGAAACCCAGCTGGATGCAGGAGCGTCTCATCCAGGTACAGTGATGGCAGGCATCTGTATGGAGCTGCGTCAAGGCAGCTATCACAACAGCCGACACACATCTTCCGGCCACATTTCAAATTAAGACCTCTAGCCCAACAGGTGTTTACAGTCAGCAGCTCGCCTATCTGCTGCCAACAAGCTGAGTTAATAAGATAATAGCTGTCGAAAATCATACAGTATCCCTGCAGCGAAGTATTTCCAAAGTATTTAACGGTAAGAAAATCATTTTATATTTATATTTATATATCTAGCTCATTAATCAGTTGTCTGATAACTACCTGAAAGAAATACATTAATATATCATATATTTTGAGGATTTTCAATTGTTCTAATTGACATTATAAAAATAATACATGTTATAGCAATTCCAACTTTTATTCAGTAGCCTATTGTGATTTTTTTTTATTTAGGAATAGAACACTAAAAACAAAACATTAGATAGCAAAAAATATGTTTGTCTTGTCTATTATGTTCTTCTTACATCAACCAAAAAAAAACACCGCCCCCACACTTAAATTAATAAATAATTAATTCTCAAAATTTGATCTGAAACCAGGACTCAATAAAGGACCCTCCTTTAGGTTGTTATCATATTTAGTTATATTTCAATTGTGTACAATTTCATTGCCCCATATTCCCACACATCCCTTGAAATACCACATGTCATAGTGCAATACAAACTGAAAATGATAAGCTTTGTTAAAGTACATTTTATGTCAGGACTGTTTTATTGCATTATGTGGTACAGGTGTGCGATGCGTCAGCCGTTGTGACGAGGCTGAGTACAGGATGGAGGAGGGGAACTTTGTCACAATGTGACCACCTCAACCTGACAAACTGCTTGTATTCGGCCCTTAAATATTTACTTTTTTGTATTTAGTTTTGTATCTATTTATTCTTGATTTACTATATTTAATATGTATTTTACCCTTCCCTTTTTGAAGATGTTTAGTTTGCTCTGGATATTGCCATTGCTTTTAATGCTCTAACCCTGCCACAGTGTAAAGGGTGAACTGTTTGTATTCCCCAAACCTACAACAACACAAACAAATATAGATATATAAAATGAAATAAATACATTGTTAATACATTAAAAAAAGGGAAAATAAAGCGGGACACTCATTGAGGCAGTCATATTATTTACTTTCTTATCTGCTTGGATATAGATGTGTTATTCATTATACTGACATTTAATCTCCAGGTACTGTTTTTATTTTTACCATTCAAGTAGACAGAAAGTTAAGTTTCTATTCCTGCCCTGCTACAGTAGCTTAAGCCGCTTAATTTAACTGTCCTCTAATTGGTTGAAAGTTGAAAGGTCAGAGGCAATCAGGATCAGAGTTGAAATAATTCAAATCTGAGCGCAGTGCCTAGCGACAGCCTTAATACTGTAATGACGTGTGTGTGTGTGTGTGTGTGTGTGTGTGTGTGTGTGTGTGTGTGTGTGTGTGTGTGTGTGTGTGTGTGTGTGTGTGTGTGTGTGTGTGTGTGTGTGTGTGTGTGTGTGTGTGTGTGTGTGTGTGTGTGTGGTGTGTGTGTGTGTGTGGTGTGTGTGTGTGTGTGTGTGTGTGTGTGTGTGTGTGTGTGTGTGTGTGGTGTGTGTGTGTGTGTGTGTGTGTGTGTGTGTGTGTGTGTGTGTGTGTGTGTGTGTGTGTGTGTGTGTGTGTGTGTGTGTGTGTGTGTGTGTGTGTGTGTGTGTGTTCTACAGTATTTTCATACCCAGCTCCTAATGCAAAACAATTGCACATGTTGACTGTGTTGGCTTACTCACACTAAATTATTGAATATAGTTATCTTCAGACAGCAGCCTGCTCTCTGCATCACAGTCTCATGTCTGGATATTTGTTCTTCCTGGCTGCTCTGATCCGGTTGTGTTATCTTGAGGCTTAGATGAGTCTTGTTTTTACAAAGCAACCAATCAGAGGGCGGCTACATCCAGCTCAACAGGTTGTGTATGAAAGGAAAAACATAATGTGAGAATCACACACCTGCCTCCCACAGAGACACGTACACACACCGGAAACATGAAGTCCCTGCTGCTCTGCTCTGCTCTGCTGCTCTCCTTCGCTGGTGAGTTCATTTCAGCAGAATATCATGATTTTAACAACTAGTTAATAACATGTTGTTTAGCAGACTCAGATTCTGCTTCCTTTGAACCTGAAAGATTGTTAGTTTCCATCCCAGAAATGTGACACAGAAATACAGCAGAACACTGCATTAGTGTCTAGAAAGATGACAAAATAAGAAAAAAAGTATTACAAATGTGAATTAATATCATCCTGAGGTGTATTGTTTTGTTAGTGGATTGTTTAGAAATGGTTACGTACAAAAAATTCAAATTGTGTTCATGATCTAAAAGTGGTCAGTTAAATCAGAATGACATCACTCACATCATGTATGTGAGCAGAAGGTTTCTGTTTCTTTATGTGTTTCTTTCTTTCATTGAAAAAATAAATAGGAATACAAATAATTGTGTTTTGGATATTTAGGATGACATAACACTTAGCTGGGTGGAACACGTTTTGTAAGCCTTGCTTTTTGACTAACTCTGTGGTTCAGATGTCCTCTTCTCATGGCTGTTCAAATCAGGTTACCATCGGTTTGTCCCTACAGAAAAGACAACAAACATATGAGTTCAGGACATTGCTGAAACAGCAGCTCTAATTTCAACAGCAAGCCAAGAGCAGCCAGACAAGAGGAAGTGCAGAGGAACTTAAGCCTTGGGTTACATTCTTGTATACAAAAAGCTGGTGACGATGTTACATTCTCTGTGAGGGTTGAAAAGAAGCCTGTTTACATCCTGAGGACTGTTTGTCCAGCCTCCTGTTCATCGAGTTCTCTGTGAGTTAGACTGGGTCTAAAGGTCACAGTCAGAAGGGTTATGTTAAGTTGAGGTCATGGTTAGTGTTAGAGTTGGATAGCAATACACTTCTGGGGACAAGGGGCTATATTTCTGGGTTGTTGATGTAATAGATAGACTTGCTTTTTGTAATTTTCCAGCCCGAGATCTGAGAATGGAGTTGAAGTCAAAAGAAAAGCTAGTTTTGAAGTAATACAAATCTAAATAGTCCTCAGACTTTGGCTGTTGGCGTCCAAGATTGTTGGACAGATGACATGCATTCAACCAAAGCCTTCTGAAATATATGACTAACATATATATATATATATATAAGTAACCAGAACACTTCCATTCCCCACTCAAGAGATATGGGGTAGTGTGACGTGTAACATTAATGAGGACTATTACAAGAATAGAGGTACTGATGTGTGTGTGTGTGTGTGTGTGGTGTGTGTGTGTGTGTGTGTGTGTGTGTGGTGTGTGTGTGTGTGTGTGTGTGTGTGGTGTGTGTGTGTGTGTGTGTGCTGTGTGGTGTGTGTGTGTGTGTGTGTGTGTGTGTGGTGTGTGTGTGTGTGTGTGTGTGTGTGTGTGTGTGTGTGTGTGTGTGTGTGTGTGTGTGTGTGGTGTGTGTGTGTGTGTGTGTGTGTGTGTGTGTGTGTGTGGTGTGTGTGTGTGTGTGTGTGTGTGTGTGTGTGTGTGTGTGTGTGTGTGTGTGTGTGTGTGTGTGTGCACTTGGAGGTGACAGAGGGATGACCATGGAACATATTGGCCAACCCGGGACAGGAATTCTTTATCACAAAACGAGGGTGACTTTTGATTTTGTGTGTGTGTGTGTGTGTACATAGTCCTGTCCGTGAAGAGTGAGGCGGTGACAGACGGTGATGGGGCGGTGACAGACGGTGATGGGGCGGTGACAGACGGTGATGGGGCGGTGACAGACGGTGATGGGGCGTTGATGACTGGAGCTCCAGAAGAAGAAGCTCTCACTGTTACAGCAGAGGTGAGAGTCCTTAGGAGGATCTGATTCTGGATTTTAATTTGAACTCCTGGTTTACACATTTATGATAAAGAATCTCTTTAGCAAAACAGAACTTGATCTCATTAGAATTTCAGAATGAATAAACCAATGAACTAAGTCGGCTTCAATGTTGTTTTATGGATAGCTCCAAAAGGTGACGGATCATTTTCAACCCTATTACCAGGGTGTGTACAAGAAGAAAAAACATCTCTTCTTATTATTAAAGAGATGAACTTCAATAAGCTAGTTGATCTCTAAAGTTTAAGGCTTAAATGTATGGACTCCACAGAGAACCTGCCACTAACAAAAAACTAAGACAAAGGTCAAGGCACCATCAAACACTTGTCAATGACAAAATGCAAATCTATTTGAATACATTCATAATGATGAATACATTTGTTTTTACAGGCTGGCTGTGAGAAGTTTGAAGACGAAACCTGCACCAGGGAGTATGATCCAGTATGTGGCAGCGATGGAAAGGTCTACAGCACCGAATGTGTCCTCTGCCAGGAAAACAGGCATGTAACATGTACTAATACACACTAAAACACATATGGAGATATCATTGTAGCATTATTATTTTCCAATGGGTGGGGTGAGTTTAGTGACTATAGATTATAGGATCATGTTTGTGAGAGTTGACTCTGACAGCCTGCAACCTCCAAAGTGTTGTTTAAAGACTGAACAAGGGAAACAAAATAAGCTTATGATTTGATATGACCCCCCTGTGAGGAGAACATTAGGACCATATGAATAGGCTACTAAGGACAACGTGTAAAGTGTATTTCATGCCAGTATCCAGTAGCTTGGGGTTTAGCCTGCAATTTAATTAATCGTGGTTGTATGAGTCTTCACAAATGGGAACAAGTTTATTTGTCAACCAATTCAATGTCCTTTTACTCATTTAGTGTCAACTATAGTTGATTTGTAAGAAACTAACACCAATCACTGCTCTCTGCCTCCACCTGGTGGTCAAAAACAACTCTGTCCCAGCTTTTATTTTGAAAGTAGAAGGAAGGGTCTAACAGTATAACCACACACAGATTATGTAATGCATGACAACAGTGTGAACTTACTTTAAGATTGTTTCAGTAAAATCTGTGAAACTGAATGCAGTTTATTAGATTTGTGTGTAGCGTTCTGCTACACATGCAGACAGACATAAATTAATCCACAATGCTCTAACACACATTTGTTTTTCTCCAACAGGAGAGAGAATACGAATGTGAAAGTGGCAAAGAAAGGGACATGTTCTCTTTAACCGTACAGTATATGGAGCCCAGTCTCACACACACTGTGTAATGGGCATATTCTGTAACTGGCTTTCTCAATAAAGTTGTACGCTGCAACCTATCTCCTGTGTGCGTGAACATAATTCATCCTGGAAAATGTAACACACAGTGAATGAACACCCTGACCACCACATGTGATCTCTCTTCCATCCTATACTCCAACACCAGATAACATACTGTGCTGTCCTTGTGATGGTGATCTATGCAGACAGACTTACTGTACAGGTTTTTTTAGGGAGGAGTTCTGCACAAAATGTGCAAAACTTTTCCAGAATTTCAAGTTTAACAGAAAGGAAGACACATTCAAGGTTAATCTATTGTCACAACACATGTTAGGCCACATTTGGCCCCCGGGCCGTAGTTTGGACACCCCTGCTCTACAAACACCAGATTGGGAAACCACTGTTGTAAGGTTTTTGCTTTATGCAGGAGTTTTCCTGTGCTATAGCTTTCCTTGTGACAGCTGAGCTGATTCAGTTGGTTCAGTTTCCTCCTCTCGAACCACCACTCCAAAAGGGTCCAGTTTGATGCCGATGTGCACTAGCAACAACAGACTGATAAAAGATCATCAACATCTTGCTGCACACGTTGAAGGATCTCAGCTTCCTCAGGAAATAGAATCTGCTCATCCCCTTCTTGTGCACAGCGTCAGTGTTGATCCTCCAGTTCAGTCCATGTGCACTCCCAGGTACTAATAATTCGTAACCACTTTGACATATTCTCCCAGAATGCATAGGGGCTGGGAAGCTGTCCTACACTTCCTTCTAAGGTCTTATACAATTGCACTTGTCTTTTAAAGCAGGTGACTACATACAGTCCAATCCACAAAATCACCCACCAGCGCTCTGCTCCTCCTCCCGTCCATCCCTGAAACACCCTACCACTGCAGAGTCATCAGAAAACTTCTGCAAATGGCATAACTCTGAGTTGTATTGAAAGTCAGTGGTTATAAGGTGAACAGGGAAGTAGACAGCACAGTCCCCTGTGGGGCTCCTGTACTACCAACCACCACACCAGACAGCACACCGCCCAGCCGGACATACTGTGGTCTGTCTGTGAGGTAGTTGGTAATCCAGGAGATGGTGGACGAGTTTACCCTCATAGCCTGCAGCTTGTCACTCAGTAGCCGAGGCTGGATCGTGTTGAATGCACTGGAGAAATCAAAGAATGTGATTCTCACAGTGCAACCCGATCCATCCAGGTATGAGTGAGCACGCTGCAACAGGTAGATGATCACCCACCCCCCACCTGCAGAGGGTCTATTGGTGACTTCACCAGCCTCTCTGAACTCTCATCACATGGGATATATAAGAGGCTGGGTTTTGTCCATCCCTTCACACATTGACAGGGGCCCCATTGTTCATGTCGGTTTGGAACCACGAGTGACTGTTAGGGGCTGTGACAGCAGAGGGTGAAGCCAATAGTCAAATACATTACATGTCATTTGTTAAACGCTTTTATCCAAAGCGACTTACATATATAGATTGGCAATCCCCACAGGAGCAATTTGGGGTGAAGTGTCTTGCCCAGGGACTGACTGCAGTGGGACTCAAGTGCAGTGGGACTCGAACTTGCTATCCCCGATTTGAAGTCCATCACACTATCCACTGAGCCACAGCCTCCCTGGCTTTTATGATGAGATGACAGACTTCGTAACATTTACATTATTTGTTTTTGGTAATTGGCCCCTTTACTTGAACACTGACATAAAGGTATATACATACCTTGTAGTTTTTGTATTTACTATTCCATTTCTGGCTAGAATCCATGTGTGTTTAAGTGTATATGTTACAAAGATGGGCATTTTTTCTGTATTGTATGGCTTCCTTTTTTCACCAAGGTGTTTGCAGGGCCAGTTCGGAGCAGGTGCCTGATTTTTAACCTGTTTTTCATGTTTCCAGTGGCGCCAGCCCTGAGCACCGAAAACCTGATTTCAATGTAAAAGGGGTGAACATAGTCTAGTAATGTGGTGACATTCCGATCATCACTTCCAGAGATAAATGTGATAATACGGACGCGCCAACCTTTGAAGCCTTAATTGTTTCACTATTTGCATTAGTGGGAAATAACCAACCATCAACAAAGAAATTATTTTGCATTCAAATATTTTTATACCACCATCCATTTCAAACCTAACACATATTAGATTAATGAAAAAACATGGTGGTGCTTTATTCTACCTCGGTTAGGGGCAGGGCCGTTTCTTCCTATAGGCGGACTATGCGGGGGCATAGGGCCACTAGGGGGCCCCCAAGCTGAAAGTTTTTTTATTTTTTTAATTTTTTTATTCATCCGAAAAACTAAAAAAGTTTAATTCATACACACAAAGATGAACAAAATTAGTAGAAGCGGGAGGGCTGAAGCATAGCTTGTGGAAAGTAGCTCTCCCGTGCATCATCCTAATACAGCGGCATTATTGCATCAAAAACGTATAGAAATGAAGGAGTACAAAGAAATAAAGAAAACAGGAGAAAACATTTAATAAAAGTTAGGGCAGGAAAACAATAAATGCATATATATATATATATATATATATATATATATATATACACGAAAACTAGATATAGGGTCATTTTCTGCACATGTCAATAGCAGTTTCAACTATCTTTTTTTGGAAATTAAAATACTATATATAAATATATACATAGGTACACATGCACTTGTCAAATGAATAATAATAATATATGCATAATTGCATATAAACATTGTGAACACTTATTTTCAAGTGACTTTTTTTACATTCATATGTTCACGCTGTGGTTTGGAACTGCTTTTGAATGTTATTAGGCATTTTCTTATGGAAAATGTTGTGCATAATCAGTACTGTTTTAAGCTGTACTATCTCAACACATTTTAATAGATTAAGTTTTTTTAAATATGGGAGTTGTGTGTTCATATTTACCAACACCACAGACTATTCGTAATACTTTTTTTTGGGATGTTATTATTTTTTGTAGATTTGTTGAGTACGTGTTTCCCCATATTTCGGAGCAGTAGTAAAGGTAAGGGAGAAATAGACTGTTATAAAGAGTATATTTTCTTCAAGAATGTTCTTAGTATGATACAAAATACCTATTGTTTTTGACAGTTTAGTCTGTACATAATTTATATGGTGCTTCCAATTGAGTTTTTCGTCAACAAGCAGTCCTAAAAATGTACATGCACCAACTTTTTCTATCTCTGTATTGCCAATCCGTATAATGCAGTAATTTCTACTCTTGAATTGAATTGAATAACATGTAATTTGTTTTGGCCACATTAAGGGATAATTTATTAACTGCAAACCAGTTACATAGTATTTTTAATTCTGCATTCACAATTTTAACAAGATCGCCAAGATTATGATGGGAGCAGAGAATTAAAAGTTCAGGTTCAGCCTCAATATATTTGGGGAGAATTAAAATGAGCTGTCTTTATTTGTAGACAGCCAAGCACCCTCCTGTGTTCGCAGTGGCGTTTTTATATGTACAAAAGTGGTGGGGCACAAAACACGTAGATGTCTATATATAAGCTTCTGCAGTGAGGTTCATGGCTGGTGAGGCACTGGCACTGACTCTTCAGGTTTACAAATATTATATTTTGACCTAAATCAAAATATAATATTATTTTCAAAAGCTTTTTTTTATTAATTATTAATTAAAAACAGACAGTTCAACAAAAGGATACCCAAAAAATGTAATTTTATCATTTAAATATTGAATTGTTCTCTCTTAGTAAGATCCCATTTTCAATAAAATGGTGGTCTTACCTTGACTTGAAGTCCATTTGCCTATCCTTCTGGACAAAAATCTCTATTACTTTTTTGTAAAAGTCCTCCTTATCTTCTTGTAGTTTCAAAAGTCTATCATAAAATATATATATATTATCCGGCTGAACAAAACGTGCATCTATCTAACAGCTACGTTTCCCACATATCTTATTTTGAGCTATTTTCTAAAATCCTATGGAGAAATCTCATTGCTTTTTTGTGGAGGGAAGCCATGCGCAGCTTACTTCCTGGTTTTAGGATGCGTCTCTCTCCTCCTCTTCACGCACCACACTTTTCGCGGCACACGTACTTACAGCCAATCAGCTCTGAATTATGTGAGATGACGTATGGTGGGGATGGCAGCTCAGTGCCCCTATGGTCATTATTTTTTTGCCACACACATTAAATAGGACAATACTCTGAGCATGCGCAGTGTAGTTTTTATAGTCACCGTTCACTTAGACAGTGAGAGGGAGGGGCATGATCGGGTTTTGTCCCACATGGCTCTAAACAGCTCAATAGGCACACACTGTAGACACTAATTAGAAGAACACAGACTAAAACAGAAATGTACAGACGAATCAGATGATTAACCATGATCTTAAAATATATTTTATATATTTTGTTATTTATTTATTTTTTAAAAGTGTAATAATTATTTGTAATACTTTCTACTGACACTAGGTGGGGCTGTGCCTGCCCCTAATGACCAGTCACCACTGTGTGTTCGGTGAAGCATTATATGCTTACAAATCCAATGTAGGATATAAACACGACTAAACTGCAATGATAGCAAATCTGTGGCTTGGGTTTTTGCTGACAGCCAATGAGTGACGTCTGAGGAAGATGAAAAATGTAAATTAAACATTGTTGAGAAAATGCTGCATCTCTTGCATTTATTGACATAGAGGAGCCTTATTGTTTACCTTTTTAATATCATTTTTTGTAATTTTCAATTGCTTGGTTTTCGTGAAATTAGCCTGTTTTCCTATTAAAGTGTAACAGATTGATGCATCTCCACAGATCATCTTAAAGGCTTCGGAATCCCCCCCATTGTAGTTAAAAAAACTGTCAAAACTAGGGCCCCCAAATAGCATCTTGCATAGGGCCCCCAAAAAGCTAGAAACGGCCCTGGTTAGGGGTATCTCACAAACAACATACTTGTTGGGGGATCTGTTCCTGTGTTTGCACAATGGAGCTTTATAAGACTTCATCATATCCTTGAAGCAGGAATATGTGGCTGCTTCTTATCTGACGTTTTTGGAGAAATAAAGTGTATGCCACTGCAACATCATACCACTAGCCATGAGTTA